TTAATTAGATATTCAACAGTTATTTGCAGCAGAAAAATATAAAATATTTGTACTTTACAGCGGTCAGTATACCATAAATATACCAGTAAATACAATATAAAATACAACTTAGCATATATACACGTCAACATGCAATATTCATTCAAGGTATACACGTCTATTAAAACATTTAGAAGATTATAATAACTTAGTAAGAAGATTATATTTGTATTGCTTAATTTAGACGGAAGCTTCAATTTGGTGGGGTGCATAATATATGCAGTCGTGTGACACACATACATAAAGAAATCACATAAAAAAAATATAAATTGAAAATTGAACGAGAAAAACGATTTACATAAGGTTGAGTGTAACAAGCAATGACGCTCAATATAATTGGATACAAAATCATTCAAACTCAAACTGATCTCATACAAAAACCCTAGCCACATCGCATTCGCTGCGTATTTGTACAATTTTCTGACCATCAGTTTTACGTGCCAAAATTCTGCCATTTCTAGTCCACACATACTTCCACTGACACCGGAGACCCGCCTGGCGTGCAAGGTAAAACAGTCGTGCATTGAGGCGAGTGAGACGTTCGTTCACATAAATACGACGCGTAGGACCGGGGATCTCAAGATCGCCAGATGTGAGTACCCGACGCACCCGGGCAGCTCGAAGCCACTGTTCGCGCACAGTCTGACGAGCAAATCGCACGGCCACAGTACGTGGCCGGTGATCCGCCACATCAAAATCGCCACCCGAAGCCGATGACTCACCACCTCCAGAAACCCTGTCACGCCGCGTAGAGCCCACACGTTCCACCCTGGTAACGTCCCTGTCGTCAAGGTCAACGCCCAGTTTAACCGCCATAACCCTTATTATGGACATAACATTCTCGCCACTTCGCTCGGGTATACCGGTGATGTTGATGTCGCTGGATAAAAGCTCCTGGTCTCTTGTGTTCAGTTGCGCTTTAAGCTCAGTAACAGCGACTTCTAACGTTTCCATGGCAGAGGTGGGGTTGTTGTTTTTTGTTTCGAGTGCTATTATCCTAGTCTCCATAGATGAAATCTTCTCATCATAGGAATTCAGTATGACCTTTAAATCTAAAATCTCCGTTCGACATTCACGCACTTCCGCCCGCAAAGCACTGAGCTCGTTCCTGAATGCACGTATTTCCATTGCCAGATCCATCCTAAACTCTTCTGTGACGTTGTGAGCTGTATCGTCCAGTTGCGACGGACTAGTAGGAGCCCCGTATGTAGCGGAGATACCCTTCAAGGGGGTAGAAGTATTGTCTTCCCTGGGTATCTTTATTTTGCACCCTGGACATATCCAGCCTTTAACCGAAGCCGATTCCGGAATGGCCACACAAGCTTTGTGAAAAGAGCCGCTACACTTGATGCAGCGCACAGTTTCTGCCGCAGATAGAAATTTGCCACATGCTCCACATTTCACCATTTTGCAGATTCCAAAGTACAGAGCGCCACCTATGCAAATCTGTCTGACGTTGGGTTTAGTAGGTGCGAAGTTGATGCGCACGTAATAGCAACTACACGTATCGACAGGCGATTAACGCAACTGATAAGTAACAAGTTCCCACAACAATTGATAGAGGGCAGTGCTTTCCGTAAATAATTTACAATTAATTTTATTTTTGTGTATCCAACAACGTAGAATCCATACAAACATAAACAGGAATAGTTCGCTCACCGGGACCTCAATAGTCATCAAACACTTATTATATATTATATGTCTTGTTTATTTTGTAATTTATGCAATGTTAAGGGTAGTTTGTAACCACTGACTGCATACAAATCCTTTAATTTAGAGAATTGAATATGTAAACACACGAATAACACCTCAATAACACCAACACTTTATTTTTGCAACTGCACAGTCCGAATTTTGGTTAAATACAGGTGAAATACTTATTTGTTATATTTTAAATTATTATATTCTCTGAGATACATGTAAGCTACCCGACGGCCGAGTGGCGAAGTTTTATGAAGTTGTTAGTGAAATAAAATAGCTTTTGTGTTAATACAGACTTTGGGCTGTAAAACAAATTACAGGCATTCAAGAAAATAACAAAAATATATAAACATCTAACATACACGTATTAATATGAGAATATATCATGTAATTAATAATCTTAAGATATCTTATTATAAATCGAGGACTAACTCTGTACCAGGTTTGAACCATTATCAGACTTAAATAAGTATCGTACATCATTATAAGCTTTTAACATCCCCACTGCATGAGCTCAGGCTTTTCTTATGGATGGTTAAGGAGAATTGTCCAATGCCCCTCCACCCTGGCCTAATGCGGATTGCAGGGTATTAATAATTTGCAAATGCAGCTGAGATCAACGACTTAACGTGCCTTCCAAAGTACGGAGTAATTCGTGAAAATATTTTACGGTCACCCATCTTGTGACCGACCTTTGTGAAAGTTGCTTAACAATAACGATCGCGAACCGCGGTGCTTATCTACTACACCACCAAGCTACGAAAAAAAATAAGTCAACACGTCTCCGTTTACTTTAGGTGGCCAGTGATTTAAACCAAGCGCTAATTTTAGTTCTCATTTTATAATAAGAGTTCAGTTTGACGTCATAATCTATTTCTAATTCAGGTCAAACAATTGTGTCTCTAATAAAGCTCCATGCTCTATTCTAGAACCATCTATTTTGAAATCATTATGAATAATGATCCAGTTTTGGCCATTTTTAATTTATAACTCATAAATGGCCATGGCCATTTTGAGAGTTACACCGAAGTGAATTTTGATACAGCATAGCTGTAACGCAATTAGTTTTGCCATAATTAAACATTTTGGAAACGGTTGACGGTGAATTAATATATTTATCTATGCGTTGTTTGAACGCTTTGAAGTTCCAAATGACCAAAATGGGGCAATGACCCCAAAACCGTGTCTATATTGAGAAGGAAGTGCAGGATACTATTAATTTTTTATAATGATTTATACTGCTAAAATACTGTTTTCAATATTACATACATTTTTGAAAAATCAAAACCAGGAATTGAAGTCTGTTTATCGTTTTAAACAGATTCACTATTAAAAATGACTAGAAAATTTAGCAGTAAGCAAGATATTATAAAAAAAAAAAGAATTATAAGTCAAGGCTTGTACTTTGTTAAACAATATTCGATTAAATAATAGTATGGAAACGAGATAGTAAATGCTTAAAGTATTGATAATAGATAAATTAATACAATACTTATTATTTATATATTAGACTAGCTGTGCCCGCGACTTCGTCTGCGTGGGAAGTATTTTGATAGAATTCTTTTTTTCCTATTAATTGGTGTAGAATCTAATAAGATCAATGGGCCATAACCCACAACGCGGGCTTAATGTGGATCGGTGGATGTTAACGTATTGTATTATATGCAGCCAGGTGTGCCAGTGTTGTGCGCAGTGCTCAAGATAATAATGTTTTGGCCACCCATCCACTTATTTTTATCTATCTATCTATTCATCCTGTGAACGATCTTTTTTCTCGTTTCTCGCGCTCTGGTTGTCGCTTGTGTCTGAGCATTTTATTCGTACCTTTAAACAGTCCTTCTTTTGTTTTTGATCTTTTTAAATTATTATTATTTGTCTAGTTGTATGGCTATTTATTGTTCTATTTTCCATGGAATGCTAGGTTGCCTGGAAGAAATCGCTGACTAGTGATGAGTTTGTCACTTGTACCTAGTTATGTAATGTATGTCCTTGTTGTGCAGTATTTACTTACTTACGAGTACTTAACTGAAATTTAAACCGAATGCGCTAACCCACTACGCCATCGGACCTCTTATACCTAAGCTATACTAATATTATAAAGAGGAAAAACTTGGTTGTTTGTTTGCATCGAATTTGCTCCAAAACTACTGGACAGTTTCAGAGCGATTCCAACCTACGGGAAGCTACATCAGACACGGATGCCATAGGCTATAATTTTGCGGCAAAGTCGCGGGAAAACAGCTAGTTCATTATACCCTGTGAAAACTTATCTGCAGTACGCCTGTAGAGTATGAAGGCAACACGGGTTGGCGATAATCGAAACTACTTTCTCGATCTCTATTGTGCAAACTACGAGCTCTTTCAGAGATCAAACGCATTTGCATGTATGTTACGATCAGCAGTTAGACGCGCTATGCGATCTTCAGAAGTTTCCTGAGATCAAACGCTTGTTGTATGAGTTCTCCGAGAGCTCAAAAGATTTTCCCTGACTGTAAATGCTTCAGATTCAACTTTATAATGCATGAGCCTAGCGATGGGCAGTTAAATACGCTTCGCGTTTTTCAGGTGTCTTCCGACACCGAGCACTTTCCGTCCGATCTCTTTTTGTCAATAAAAGTTGGTCGGTACATGTCTGACGGAAGATACGTGGAGTTTTATTTATTGATATAAAAAAATATATACATATTTTAATTTCGACTTTCTACACTCGAAGGAAATCTTCTACTAACACATACTTCCGACAGGTGCTTAACTGAGCTTCCGTCAGATTTGACGGCCCTCATCATCATCATCATCAGCACTTTTACGTCACGAGAAAGAAAATATATAACTCGAGTTGTCATTACGTTCTCGAAGTTAAGACGTGAATTTAAGTTTTTTAACGTCGTGGAAAAGCTTCTGACATTGTCTCTGTTACGTAGCAAGCAACAGGGGGTGAGTAGGATTCTCCTCCGTGAACACGACAGTCAGCTGCCCAGTGGGTCCCAAGAGGCTTACCCACCAAAACTCGTACGCTACACCCTCTCATGGCAGATGAAACCCGGCAAGTTATGACGCAACACTTTATGTAATGTCAGCGACATTGGGTGAAAATTGTACAAAGAAACGTACAATTCAGCAGTTTCTTTGCAGTAAATTTCGAATTTTTGTGTATCAATTTTTATCCCGCAGCACATGGTGTCAAGAATGACTTTTAATCGGTAGATTAAATTCTGGTCAATCCCAGATATTTCTGCAGATTTTTCGTATTCTTCGAAAAATCACCTGCTGGTACTCCCATCATTTGTGTTTCCAAAGTTAGCCTTTGGAGTATCTACTAGTAATCCTAGTTCTTCACGAAACTTGGTTTGGATTTCTTTTTTTCGTGTCTCCACTAGTTTCTTCTCTTCGGCAGTCAGGCGAGCCCTCCATTTCATGACCGGTAATTTATAAGCTACATGCAAAATGCTCTCGAAAAATCTTATTCGAGCGTGCAGCAAAGACAGACCAAATCGCATATTTTCCGTATTGCAGGGCCTTTCTGTTGTAAGGTCGTTGAAATCAGAGGATGTGGCGCCACATATGTAACATCTCATGGTTGACTTGGTATGTGTTGCTGCGTTACATACCTTGCCGTCCACCATGATAAAAACTATTTTGTGTTTGATGGATATCTCGTCGATCTTGGTCTTGCTCAGTTCTTTTATTTGAGTTTCAACGTACTCGATCTCCTCATTGGTCCCGTCAGTGTTTTCTTTCACATATCGTATGCGTATTGGTCTGCAATATCGTGGTGATGATGGAGTTGGGTTTTGCCATATATTTTTTTTTTCTTTCCATAGACAAGTTGAAGTGGAACGACAGAGCTTTGAAAAATGTTGGCGTCGGAATCAGTCTCATTTTCAAATTTCATTTTATACTGAGTCTGCTGAGATCCGTCACAGCCCCATTCGCTGATGAGCACAAAGGACTGCTTTTCAGATTCAGTCAGTTGCTCCAGGACTTCCTCACCACGATGCAATAATAACCGCTTGATTGAGTGATTAAGCTTTGTACCCTTACTTCTGCACAGGTCTCAGTTATGCTGTGGATTTCGGGGTAACATTCTTTCTTCAACTTCTTTAGAATTGAATAGCACGGGTAAAAGTCTGGATTTGTGTCTCGAACCACTTCATACTGAGCCTGAGTAAGCCCCGCTTCAACAAACATAAACAGGGAACGAAGGTGTGCCAATTTCGTTGAAACTTCTTTTTGTTGTTCAGCTGTTTTTTCTTTTATTGCTGCTGAATATTGTTTTGCTTTCAGAGGACTTCTGGTAAGGACCTTTACGATTTTTGATGCTTTGACTTCACCAGTCTTTCGCAATTTCATTTGTGTTGCGTATGCCAGCTCATGTAAGTCAGATGTTCGAAGCTCTTCAGTTTTTCGCCTTTTACTCCTTTCAGATAATTCTGAGAATGACTTTTGGGTCTACCTGTATTTAATCCTATAACAAAAGATAAACCTTTATTAGTAACTGATAAAATTCAATGAAATGTAATCGAACCAAAAAAAGAGTAATGTCTCACGTAAATAGGTACTCGATTTTGGTAGGGATATGGTGCCCTTGAGCCATTATTTATTCATATCCAGGAATCTGGCTTTGGTATTGCGAGCAGCTGACCATTTCTGCTTGAATTGATGACGTATGATCAACAACTTATGCTTTGCTTCGGCAATGTTTGGGTCACCTTCAGAGTATTGATGCAGAAGTTCCAACTCCATAAATTCCAACTTTTCGTTAAAAGTTGACGCATTGGAGCGTTCCATGATAGTAAATAAATCGTTTCTAGTTAATACCCGCACCCCAGAAGAGCCTGGAAACAAGATATACCAATTTTCATAAAAACACAGAACACATGTTTTTTTTAGTCTGTGGGTTTGGGTGGCTGATCTATGCATTTTAGAATACTATAGAGTCTACTTTAAAACAAATCATAAAAATTTTTACTTAGAAATGCTCAGAAATACTTTAAAACGCTTAATGACTTTTTAAAATGCGTATTTTATACGACTTTTTAAGGGCTACTTACTAATGGAGGTAAAGGTACCAAAAATCCCTCTTTTCATAACAAAACTAAATAAAATATAAAGAACATATCTGATTGTGTACAATCCATAGTAGAAACTCACACGAAATAGACTTTTTCACCATAAATTTAATATTTGAAAACAACGAAAGTCGAGCGTATTGAATAATTACACGACCACGTCAAGCGAACGGTAACTTCCGACTGACTGTATGGAGCGGGGGAAAGACTCTAGCGTATCGGGTTCGTGCTATTGTTAAGTGGGGATACTGTTGAATTTCGAGGAATAATAAAAAAGAGTGTCTTACTAAAACAAAAAAAATGGATTTTGTCCAACTTTTAGGGCCAAATACCTGTCTGTGCATTGGTTCTCTTGCAGATGGAAAATTGGAGAGGCTTGGGTAAATCGAGTGCCTCTCCCAGACAAACGAAACCGTGCAATGCGGGGGCGGCTGCCAACCACCTCCGCTGGCCTCGACGACGACGTGAACCTAATCTGATAAAAATATACGTTCACTACTACAACTAACTATATCAATATATCAAAGACGAAAATTTAATAAAACAGATAATATTTCATAGCAATTTTGGCGAACTCGTCACTTCAAATTGACATAACTTTTTTATTTGTGAACCGATTGAAATGAATCTTACACTTAGTGTTAACGGAAGAATACCGCAATATAATAGTGAAAGCTGCATTTAAATCGGTTCAGCCGTTTCTGAGGTTATCGTGCACAAACGCACAGACAAACTGACAAAAAAATTAAAAATCATTGTTTTGAGTTCTATTGTGCTTATAAATGTCCCTCATAACGGTTTTTTTTCATATATCTTCAATGTACAGACATCGATCAGTTACGTTTTTATTATATTATAGATAAGATAATATATACATAAGAAATCAATATATGTAAGTAAGACAGTATACCCAAATAAGCCCCAAAGACTCATGTGGAAATATATAAACAAAGAAAGTAAAAAATAAAAATATTTAATATATTTAATAAATACGATACATCGTCAACTTAATTGAGCTCTGTCCTACGCTTTAACATTTAAAATACGTAAGTAAGAGCAGGACAGACGTCCATATTATATCGATTTTCGATGAGTACATGGCCTGATACAAAGTTTTGGTAGATATAAAGTTCCATAACAAGGCAAAACATCTTTTGAGCGAACGTCGACAAAAGACCACCGAATATTTTTACTGGTAAAATAACAAGGTAGGCCCGCTCAGTGTTTTGATATGTGTGATACTAAAGTTTTCCAATAAGCGTACACAATAAGTCTACATAATAACACTGGGTAGATGGAATGTTTTTCTGTTTACATTTACTTTACCGATCTAAAGAGAGTTTGCCTCGAAAATAATAACAAGTTGATGGTATATGTACTTATATAGGTATACATATCAGATTAGACTATAATCTTTAAAGAAAACCTTTATATGTACCGCCACTAAAACCAGTAGCAGTGGAAGCATTGTGTGAGGTATAATTGTGTTTCTTTTTTCTGTTACATAAATCTTAATTAAGACAAGGTTTAATGAAAGGCCTTCATGAAGGCACGGTATATTTTGGAGTACAGATCCCGTACATCACCATATTATATAATGATTCAAAATGCTACAATAAAATAATATAATACTCGCAACCAGTGGCCTAATTGTTTTTACTTGGTCAAGAAATATAATAAAAAAGTAAACCTTAGGCAATTCCAATTAACGTCAAACTAAAGATATTGTGTATTCAATATCTATAAAAAATGACACGATCAAATTGTTGATACGTGTAGTTCGTGAATATTTTTCAAATGTTAGAGTGATGCTGGGAACCCACTATACATACAAAATCCCATATTTATTTATATATATTCACCACTAACATAAACATAGATATTTCACATTAACGTAAAGAGTTCATCAACATATATTATGAAACTCGAAAAGAGAATAACATAAAAGAAGGAAAATATACCTACTTATAATGATAGTATACTCTCTGATCCGATAATTTTCTTAATTTGTACTATAAATTGTGTATAAACAAATTTTATTGATAAATATAATATATATTCTCAGATTCCTGGATCATTCTTTTTGTGATTTTTCTTTGACCAAGAATTGTGTTAGTCAGATAGTTATTGTATTCATTTATTTAAACATCGTGAAATATTCAGACTAAAGTATTTGGAAAAATTATTGAGAATTTCTAATTTTCATCATCACAACTGCCATACTGGTGAAATTATAATATATTGAAATTAGATAATTAGGCCTCTGAATAGACATACATATTAATCAGAGTCATCCCTAATGACTTAGTTACACGATTGACGGGGTCCGAACGTGGAGCAAGGGCGACTGCTAGTTCGTCTCATTTGATAATAAAACAATGACCGATCAATGAAATCAAGCCACCGAAATTGTCCGCGACCTGGATGTCATCGACCAGTAGAACTGAATCATTACAATATTACTGACTCATTAATTTATATTATTTTTACCACATTCTGACAAATTATATTTTATTTTGATCATAGGCGTATTCGGCAAGTTAGATACCTATTTTAAAAGTATCCTTATAAGTTGAATTTTCCACCTTTTTTAATGAGTATATTTAAAAACTAATAGGTTCTGACTTCACGTATGTTTATTAGTGTTTCTTCGTAAACAATGACCAATTTAGCGTTTTTTTTAATGAATATTTGATTTTTTCCAGAAAGTTAATTAGACACTACGATTTATATTTCATTGAAATAAACACAAAAGCAGTTATCGTCCGACTTTATTAATATTTTCTTAAATTCGTTCCCTTAATTTTACAAACTTTTATTTAGTTCCATCTGTCCGATGTTTGTCTTCTTATTTGTCTTAATTTTACCCACTTCCCAGTATCCGTTTGAGCTGAAATTTGAAATATATTTGATAAGATTGCAATTATATACCTAATCGGTATTATTATAAATCTAAAATGGCCGCTATAACAAAATGGCAGCCTACATATATATTTTTTAACGACCCACCTAATATGTATCTAATCGACGCCTTGTTTAAAAAACTATCTTTAAATTATAGCTTTTTTAAGATCGCAATAAAAAAAAATACGCAAGCAAGCACAAAAATATAGACAATCTCTCACAAAAAACAATATGTCTCTTGTCTTATACTTATACTTCTCGCGAAATAGTTTCAGAAATCAGCGTTCAATAAGTGGGGATTACAGACACTTCCATTTGTCTCAGTGACAGCGCCTGTCTTGATCCAGTTCTCGGAAGATAAAGAGACACTAGTTAGTCAACTTACTATTCGTGTTTGTTTCCTTCTAATTGTTATACGAGTGTATACTCTATAGTTATCTATATAAAGAGGAGCTTGATGCAGTGGTAGGTGTTCATTCGGAAGTTAAGCACCTTTGCAAGGGCCGATCATAGGATAGGTGACCAAAATATTAATATGTCGAGCTCCTCAGTATTTTGGAAGGCACGTTAAGTCATTGGTTCCACCTACATCTGCAGTTGATAACTCTCACCAATCCACATTGGGTCCGCTGGTGTGTTTTGGCCCATTTTCCTTGAGTAACTTTGTTGCCAGGGGACAGGGATAGAGTGTAAATAATTTTTGTGTATGTTAAAAAAAAATTACTCATATTTACCACTTTATAAAAACCAGCTAAAAGTTATGAAAGAATAATGAAAGTGGACGAGGCGAAAGCTGTATATAAACACCAAACTTTGTGGCGTTGGCTTCCTCTCTGCCCTTTCCGTATCCCTTGCAAGGGATACACTGTAAAGATATAGATAGATAAATAGACATTTCATAATTCAATTTATATTAATCATATTTAAAATGATTAACAAGCAGGAAAATATGTATTATTAAAAACTAAATATACAAATTTATATAGCAAACAACATTATTTCATTATGCTTAAATCGCGTGGAATAAACCGAAACGTCGACAATTAATTACTATCTAGCACAATTTCATATGTGCTTACAGCATACAAAACGCAGCTCATTTGTTAGTTTATCTCAACAAAGTTATACACATTAAAGAACTATAAATTATGCTTCGCGAACATTTTAATGAAACATTAAACGATTTCGGCGGAGCCAGAAACTATTGTACCGCAGAGATAACAGCGTTGTACGATGAAAGTTCCACCTTTGTTCCGAAGGTAACTCGTGGACTAACTTTCGAACAGACTCACCCTTGTTTCAACTTTCGGCAATAAAAATGCTGTTCAAAATGTTGTACAATTTGTGTTTCGCCAACATGAGTGTGAAACTCGTCTGTTAAATAACTTTTATGTCGTAGAACTAGAAAATAATTATCCAATGTAGGTTTATTCATAATTTTTTTCGTTCTAAATATTCTCTATTCAAAACAAAAACTTTCATAGATGAATCATATTAATAATACATGAGTGATATTATACGGTATGTATAATAGTGCAATACTCTCTCAGAATGATGAACTTTCTTTCTGATAAATTTTGTTTAAATAATCAACCTAAATAAAATCACATGAATTCTAAAATGTACAAATATAAACACTAAAGCGACAACCAATTGATAGGTATTGAAATAAATAAAGTTTTTATATAAATTTTATTTAAACGCATTTAGATATCGCTTTTATTTGCATATATGTACCGTACGAATGAACAATGAAAAACGAGCGGAGTGTTGGAATATGACGGCACGCAAAATAAGAATGCCCGATAAACAGACGTCAGGAATGTATATTTACGAGAAATTAAAATACCTTTGACATTTCTAACTTTTTGAATGAAAAAGAAATGTCTATTTGTACAGATACAAATAAAGCTCTTTTGTATAGCATAAAAAAAAAACATTGTTTCAATGTAAGCAACAACAAAATTCATATTATTCATCATTGTTCTATTTTTGTTTCCGCAGAGACAATACTTACAGTTCCTTTTCATTTACGCGATTTTTCTTAATTTTGTAATACAATTTTATCATAATAATAAATCAGGTAGACTATTGAAGAATATTAAATTCGTATTTTTTTATTTTTAGCGTATAATTACTTATAATTATGGTGATACATTAGATTGAAATGTCGCATGAAGTCATACCTTCGTACATGTTCTACATGATTAGGCGACCTCCCATTCCTCGACTTTGAAACATTATCTAAGCCATTTCTTGTTATTTGACTAAGTAAGTTTTTAATCAGATGTTATCCCTAAATCTTCTTCCATAACACTGTGCATGCATAATTTTAGACAAAAATATGTGTTTCATCATTTGTTTCTTAACTAAATTACTCGTCACAGGTATGCGATATTGCCTTTCTTATATTTCAACTAAACAAATAAACACCGGAGAATATTGATCGCAGCAATTGTTGGTGTTGAGTTTCAAACTGTTTTGTTTTGAATCCAAATGAATGCTACAGAGTAGCCTGGCGCAACAACTTATAAACAACAAAGGTTTTCATTCATCAGAGAAAATTCATTAATTTGTAAGTAAATAAGTAGATGTATTATATACTCTGAAGCAATGTTCGGCATTAAATTTCAGGGAAATGATTTATTTGTTAACTTTATATCTCTTGATTGTTAACTACCTTAGATATGTAAATATGAAAGTAAATTATATATTACAATTATTGCACGTACTTAAACAGGACACATTACAAACTGAAACATCGAAAAAAAAATACATAAATGTTGGCCTTATAGCTTTACAGAAATGTATTTCAGGGAACTAATGATGGTGGAGGGAATAGGAATATAAATAGATATATCTAAAGAAGAGAAATAATGCATATAAATAATAATGCATAAAATATAAAACATACAAGTTTCATTATTAGGTATGAGAAAATAGTTCTTCACTGAGTGTGCCTTTGTAATAGCATCCGGTAGAGAATTCCAAAGCCGAACAGCCTGCATAGAAAAAGAATATTATAGGAAAATAAAGATATTGAACAAAACAAGGTTAGTAATTTCAAGGAAATGACTCTTCTCTTGAGTAGCATGACAACCTAAAGTGCGTGCGTACTCATGGAATATAATTGGAGAGGAAGCCTGTAACGGCTGTTATTTTTATATTCTACATAAGGCCCGAGACACCGATGTCATTTAATCTGCTGTTTAAAAAAATCTTACATTTTTTTCAAGTCATCCAGATAATGAGACAACGTGTAATCGGTGAATAGCACTGTTTTTTTATAATATAAAATAATGTTTTTGATAATAAATCCAATATAACATAAAACGCTGACTACAGTTTTATTTGTAAAAAACTAAAAACCATTTCGATTTACTTATAAAATACAAGCTAGAGACAACAAATAATGAGAAACAAAATTCTAACCGATAGAACACGAAACATATTAAATCAATGCTAATCAGTTGTTACAAAGTTAGTGAACTCGGCCCTTAGATGTTCTTTAAACGCAAATATTTTAAAATTATATCTTCTTAGTATTAACGTTTAACTTTACAACATCAAAGTTAATTACAAAAAGACAGTTGACCCATTTGCAAGTCGGAGTCATTACGCGCCCACAGTGACAACGGCGCGCGGCTGTGAGATAGCTAATTACGACACTGGAAATTATAGTGATGTAATTATAACAACGCTTTACTAAAGGATGCCGTTTTCAAAAATGAAAAGATTCCTTGATAAAATAAATAAGTTAAATGTTTTTGCTAAAGCGACAACGTTTATTATTAGAAAAGTTACCGCCGTCTATTATTTGGATTTATCTTGACATCGCCCACAATTTGGTTTAGGAGTACAAATAGTTCATGAACTTTCGATTTGTACGTCGTTATTTTGTTGCCATAATAAGGAGACCTAAAATGGATTACAGATCGTACGCGAAAAAATTGATTTCTTTTTAGTTTTAAATTATCAAGGGTAAATTTTCTGTTTTCTATTTATTCTCAATTTATCCTATAGTCCTCACACGTACCAAGCATTATAGTGCAAAATTTTTGTCACTGTCTGTATCACGTACCAAAGTCATCTATCGCTGTCCTGACGCTCGGAATGTCACCCCTTCTATAGGCGCGGTTGTGAGTAGCTAATTGCGTCGCTTCCAACACTGGCACTTTAATTACTCCCATTCTATGAAAATTACGTTGCAAATAAGTATAAAAGCGTCGCCGAACAATGCGGCGGTGAACGAGAGGTGTGGTAACTGCTACCTTACACGATATATATTTTTTCGCACAAAGCTCGATGCTAACGTAACAGCTTATTTATGTTACAAAGTGACCAAAGATGGCTCTAGTTTAAACTATTCTAATTATAAAAATATTCATCATAATTAGTCTATTAATAACATTATCACAGAGATAGAGTTGAATAGCGAGAATAGCCCATCACTCAGGCCTTTGTGGATTGATGGGTGTTGACAGCTGCATATATAACAAAAACTTAACGTGTCTTCTGAAGCACGGAGCTCAAGATTCTAAATATTCAGTCACTCATCCAATGATAGACTCTTGAGAAAAAATGTTTAACTTCCTCATTGCATAAAAAAATACGCAAAAATTTTAATCGATGAAAGTAAAAAGTATTAAAAAATTGACACATACAAAAGTAGGTAGCGCTGTATAAATATCAATACAAAAAACGTTTGTGCTAAATTAGAAGTGACATCTCTGATATCCATTCGATTCCCCGTCAGGTTAACTTTTTTTTCTATTTTGTTTATTTTTGTATTGTGGTTTGTGTGTGTTTATTGTTTCAGATATCAATTATAAAAGTAAGTTATCTTTTTTGAGATCTAAGTATATGTTATGTTATCTAAAACAATTTATTGTTTATAAACTACTTTCTTTAAATTAAACCGTTAATACTTTGCATATTCGATTTAAGAAACGGATTAGATTAAAAAGGCATCGTTTAATGGCTGCTTCCATTAAAAAAAGTTAACTGGCTATTGCAGCCGCACGGCCATCTTATCCGGACTTACCTAAGGACGGCGTGATCTAATAATCTTGTGAAATTAAACCGTATTGCAAATATATGTACGGTCCTGTTTTATATGATAGAGTTTAGCTAATTTAGCGTTGAATTAAATATCATAGGACTCCGCGGTTTTGAGACTTTAAATTATTAATGTTGGGTTATAAAATTAAAATCTTCAATTTCGTTGAAAATGAAATGAGCTCTGTGTTTTTCGGGATTTCATATTCGTCGGCATTAGGATTGAAATACAAAATTTGAATACGATTTTATAAAGAATATTAATATTATATCTCCAATTAATAATGATCTTGTTTTGAGCATTCTTTACTCGATATTTTAAACGGTTAACTGGTTACTTTTAAAAATAAGTCCAAGGCATCTTGTGCTCGTGGAAGTAAAATAAGTTATCAAGGTCTTAAAAAAGCAGATTTCAATAAACTCAATGTAATTATAAAAGAATTAAAAGTAAAGTATGATAATTCTTCGAAGTGTAAAACAAATATGAAATATAATAATACGATTTTGACGAAAACGCTGGTTGTGTTGCAACGCCGGGCACGTTCCGCTGACGCTGCGTCTCGTGCTGCCTAATGCCGTGTGCGGTGTATATCGGTGTCGATTCTGACTTGGCGATCGTCATATTAGGCTTCCGTAATAAGTATGTGTTTGTTTGTTTTCTTTCTGTGTTTATAAGCTGTATTTTAGTAAAATGTTCTGTGACTACGTTTTTGTGTTATGTATATTTATGCTCACTGATTTAAGAGTTAGGGTTTGGATTATTTCTTAATAGTGTAAATTTATTTCAATTTTACTGTAACTTATTTTGTGAGATAAATAAATAAAATTAATTAAACCATATAAACGACGACCAGTTCAACGTAAATCGTGAATAACTGAAACAGCGGCGTTTCAATTTCCAGCCGAGTATTAAAAAAAAAACTAAATTTAAACGCGATGAAATCGTTTAAAAGTTGTTTCATTTATGGATGGTGCGCGTGAAAAGATAAGAATTGAATAACTAGTTTATTTATATAAATATAAGGGCAAAGTCACTCACACATAACGAAATTTCAAAAACTACAACCATGCGGGCGAAGTCAAAGCGGAAAGCTAGTCTTTGTATAAATATATATACCATCGATTTCATATTAAGCAGATATATTAGAACATATTAGGATAGCTAATTGGGTCGTCCCTAATTGCGCTACTATAACTGCGTACTATATAGAAGTTCTGTTACAAATTAGTAATAACTAGTAAGCGGTATAAACACAGTTGTGTATGTATGCAATACACAACTATGTTTAACTATAAATTATGCTGTAACTATAAATTATATATTTTACATAAATATAAATTATATTTGGTATATTACATTTAACTGTAACTATAAATTATATATTTTACATAAATATAAATTATATTTGGTGTATTACATTTAATTAGGCTGTAACACAATAAGGTTAATGTAGATTTTAAGAAAAACCTTTTTTGTTTTCCGATACAGTAAACACAGTTGTGTATGTATGTAATACACAACTGTGTTTATACCGCTGTATCAATAAATTATATTTGATGTATTAAATTTAATTAGGCTGTAACACAATAAGGTTATTGTACATTTTACAAAAAGCCGTTTTTGTTTTCTGACTTCGCCCTCGTAAACTATAGCCTATGTGTAGCCAATCGTAGTGAGAGATGCCTTCAGACTAGATGGGAAGATGACTTTCATAGGGCAACTGATAAAAACATGTTGAGAGTAGCCGAAGATCCTAGAAGAAAAAGATTAGAGAAGCTTTAGTCTAGCAGCCATTGCTCTACCATTGTAAATTCCAAAGAATTTTATTATTTTTTATTTCCATCTTTTATCTTAGTTATTTTCAGAATTTAAAACGCAGTTTGAAACGATTTAAACTAAATTAGTCTACGTTTTGCAACAGAATAGCTACCACTCTCTTAATAGCTAAAACTGTACCGACCCACGCATGTGCGTGAGGGCAAAAGGAAAAGTCCCCTGTCCATAATTAACAGAAATGTCATGCGAGTAACACTTTTAGAATTGGTCAATTAGTGTCAGTCATAACGACAGTAGTGCTACGTAATAAAAGGCGTAATAATTTACTAACCGACATAAGTAATGTTAGAACGCGATCGTTCCGATAAATAACACGAGAATTTCGTGATTGGATTTGTTGGTAGCTTATTTATTATGAAAAAGAAAGTAACATCAATTTTCTTTATACTTATCTCATTGTTTTCTGCTTTAGTTTTCATTTATAATTCAATTGTGCTTTCTCGTATGCTCTTGTCAGTGCAATTGTAATCAGGCATCATATTTGGAAGCGCATCAGCTTTCAATCATCCCCAATCGAAGCTTGCGGGACAATATCATTCACAGATGCGTTGGTCGATGGTTTTATCCAATCAGTCCAGCACAATAGATTAAAATATATGGACGATGTTGTTGCCATAAAGAGATTTAAAATTTTTTTTTTTTTTTGCAAATTCAAACTTCATTTGAAATGGACTTGCAATAATATCAACCACATAGAAATCTATTGAATGACGATGTGAAAAGCACTTATTTAAACTATGTAGTGATAAGACGATTTTCACTGCTATTTGTTTTTTTTATTGCTTGTTTTGACATTCTAGTCTTCAAACGTAGTTCTTTTTTTGTTTTTGTTTTATAGCTTATTGTTTTTCGTGATGTCTATTCACCAATAGAATTGCTCTTCTTTCCTATAGTCATCTCTAAAGCATATTGTTATAATTACTATTATGTTACGTTTGTTGTTAATTCTTATGTCTAGTTTTTACAGTATTATTTCGTACATATAAGTTGCTGTCCGTTTCTTTCCTAAAGCCTTTCTAGGCGTCTAGTTCAGTAACAACAAGAGGTTGCTAGTGTTTCAACTATTCAGAACTATATAGCTTAGATGGAAGTAAGACAAGTTTGAGAAACAACTATGTCGACTTATAAACTGTTGTATTAAATACTGAATCATAAATTTCGTATGTCATAAGTTTTGTTTTATTTTGACACTTTTTAAATGCGTAACTAGATAAAATAATTATTTCTTTTACAAAAACTAATTAAATTGATATCTGACAAGATGGACTACGCGTACCATAATGTTTAACAACCATCCTAGTAGTTTCTTGTTCAGTTCTCAGTGACCTAACAAAATATCACTATGTTTCGCCATTATTAACACAAAAACAGGTATTTTGTGTGAAATAATGAATTTAAAATTAGATAATAGCAAAATTACATTATTCAATGATTCGATGAGGCACAAATCATACGTTATCATCCAAAATAGGTAAATGAGATGCACGCCACCGTACATGGTAACCAAATATTTACCATATTATCATTATAAACAACACTGTTAATTAAAAAGGACCGCTCATATGAACAGAGCAAGCTAATTTATATAATGGCCAGCAATTATTGTACAGTTTGCGTATCCGCTAAAATATACATTGTATTTCAAAATTAAACGACATTTATTGCCTTTGAGAGACTACAAATGATGCTTAAGTGAATTTGGCGAAGTTTGTTCGACGCCGTTATCGTACCAAAAGTTCGGTTCAAATTCACGCGTAAAGCTACTTATACATATGTAAATCATATAACATAATCTGAAGATCGTTTTGGTAATTCTCAACTTTACTACCGGTAACTTTGAATTACATTAAGGATGCATATCTTTTCATCTGAAACTGACTTCAAAAATTATAAATAACTTATTAACTACAAAGATTCACAAAACGAATAAAGTTCTTTTGAATTCAATAGAATATAAGTCAGTCATACCACAAATCGCACGTTGAGAACGATAGTGACACAATGCAAAAAATGTGATTTTGAGTAATGAGCGTTTAAAGTTCAAGAAATTGTAATCAGCCCCTCTAAACAACGTATCGTCACTACGCCACCTAGCAGTTTCTATGCAAGCTACGTTCACAGGGATCTTTGCGTTTTAAAGTTTATGCTTAACAAAGAAAAATTGTCAAAAGTAAAAAATATGTCGTTTTTGGTTAGTGACATTGTCATTCTCAATGTGCGAAATATTTTATGTGTTTACAAAACTTTTTACAAAACATATATTCCCAAATCTATGTCCCTATGTGTGAAAGAAAA